GGTCTTCCAAAGCCCTAAAAGAAGAGGAACAGAGAAAGGAGAGGAATGTGAGAACCAGAGAGGAAGTGGACACAAAGGCTTCAGAAGATGGGGCTGTGGGAAGGGGCAGCCCATTTCTCTCTGCAGTTCTCAAGGAGCTCAGACATAAGAGAAGGTTGTCACTTAGCAGCCCTTTCTTCTATCCTTCCTCCACCCTCCCTTCCATCCTTTCCTCCCATCCTACTTCCCATGCATTATCTTATTCCGCTTCTATTCATCATCCTTCCATCTTTTAGAAGTTCTTTTGGTGAATATAGCTGGGCTCTCCCTATGGGACAGGTTCTGTGCTGGATGCGGGGGGTGCACTGCTTTCATTTCATCCACTGGCAAAATCCATGTGTCTAAGCTCTTCCTGTCCCCACACCTAACTCCTTGTCTTATTCCCCAACCTCCTGTCCCCCTCATCCTGGACCCTGGGCTTGGAGGGTCCTCTCCTAATTCTGCAACTTACTCAGATGGAAACAAGAGAAAACCTCAAAGCCGATCAAGCCCCATATGTGTGCACACATGCGTGGACACACCACTACACACACACACACACACACACACACACACACATACACACACCCCACCCCCACTGAGCACATACAAAATCTCCTAGGAATTCACAAGTTCTGACATAAGAAAATTAAACCCTGGTTACCTATAAAAGCTTTTCTGGTATCTGAGGACCAACATGTTCACTATTATTATTGATTTCAGAGAGGAATGGAGAGGGAGAGAAAGACAGAAACATCAATGATGACAGAGAATCATTGATTGGCTGCCTCCTGCACGCCCCACACTGGGGGGTTGAGTCCGCAACCTGGGCATGTGCCCTGGCCAGGTATCAAACCGTGACCTCCTGGTTCATAGGTTGATGCTCAACCACGGAGCCATGCCAGCCGGGCCCAACATGCTCTTGTAAGGCCAGAGTTGGTTGGGGACCCAGGAGTGAGGAACCCACCTGGCCCGGGTTTGACTACTGTTCTGATGTTCACACACGCAGGCAGGGTGAGAGCGGGAAAGCCCCTCACTGGTTACCAATTTCACAGTCCTGATGAGAGTTCATCTACAACGTCCAGAGGGACAGCTGTGTGCCAGAGTGGAGGGAGGGTTCCCTAACTCAGGAGGGTGGAGTCCTGGAGGCAGAGGGGGAGGTGACCACAGCCCCTGCACAGCCCATTTCCAGGGAGGCTCAGGTTGCCAGGGCCAGGCAGAGGACGGCCTCCTGCCTCTGAGGCCTGGCAGGGAGCACACTGCTGGGCAAACAGGAGGATGGCAAATGCCGGCTAAACCCAAACCCCAAATGAGCACGCCTCTCTTCATTCCCATGGAGGACATGGCTGGAAAATACACCAAGTGGGACTTGTGTTGGTCTCCATGAGACAGCTGCTGGGTGTGGAAACAGGCATTGGGTCCACGTGGCCTGTCTCTGTTCGAGGAGGGCTCCCAGGGGCCTTGGCAGCCTCCATGGGCACATCCAAGCACCCAGCTGTGGGCTGAGCTCCTCCCAGGCTGCCTGGCAGTTGTCTCCTGTCCTCTGCGAATCTCTGGGCCCTCCATCCAGGCTGCAAGACCCACCCACTTCACTGTCCCAGCCTTGGGCCTGGCCGGAGGAGTCGGGTCACTCTGTGAGCATGCCCCCTGGTACAGGCCCAGGCCGGGCACTCCCGGGATCCCATGGAGCACAGATGAGCGGGCAGTGGAGCTAGACTGGGCTCCCTATGGAACAGGGAGAGATGCGGGGGTGCTGAATTCGACCCCAGGGACTGGCAAGGATTTTACTCTGAGACTGAGAACAACCCCACTGTTTTATGCCTATAGCTCAAAAATACACCTGACATCTGTAATGATAAAAATGTAACATGCTAATTAGACCAGACATCCTTCTGGACCACCTTCCACCACAGCAGGCGGGGGCTGAGCCCCTTGCATGAATTTCATGCATGGGGCCCCCACTGTTTTTATTTATTTATTTATATTTTTTAATATATATTTTATTGACTTTTTACAGAGAGAAAGGGAGAAGGATAGAGAGTTAGAAACATCGATGAGAGAGAAACATCAATCAGCTGCCTCCTGCACACCCCCTACTGAGGATGTGCCTGCAACCAAGGTACGTGCCCTTGACTGGAATCGAACCTGGGACCCTTCAGTCCGCAGGCTGACGCTCTATCCACTGAGCCAAACCAGTTAGGGCAGGCCCCACTGTTTTTAATAAACTTGCTTCTAACTGCCCAGTGCTCCTTTGGTTGTCTACTGGGGCTGATGTTGGCGGGATCCATTCTGAGCTCATTGGGGGCCTTGTGTGTGGAGAGCTGAGCATCTGCCTGGGGCGGAGAATTAACAGCAGTCAGAATACACTTTGGTCCATAAACCGTGGCAGGTGGTCATTTAGAACACCGCCCAGTGGCCCAGGTTCCAGTCCCCTGACCTGCTTACTAGTTCTAGGACAAGGTCCCCAGCCCGGCTGCCAGGGCCCTGAGACGGGTCCCTGTGGTGTGTCTCAGCACTTCTGGGGAGCAGTCAGCTCAGCTCAGGGGTTCTCTTTGGTTCCCGATTCCTCCCTTCAGACCTAAAGCAGAAGCAGAGGCCGCAGCCGTCCACACTGAGGTGCAGGCTCTGGTTTGCATGGGCCTCTGTGCGTCTTCCCCAGGTCCTGGGGGTCCAGTCCACCGCCCCACGCCATGCGGAGTTTCCCTGGGCCTGTTTAGATGAGATGAGTCCATGCATTACCCTGTCAACCTTCTTACTAATGAATAAACTGGGGACCTTCACCACTCGTGCCTACACATAAACCAGCAGACCCATTCACTGTGTCTTAAATGCGGAATAAAAGATGGAACAGGATTTAAAGAAATAAACCTCTGGCTACAAGTTAGTCCCTTTCTAACTGCAGTCACTGCTTAACCTAATGTCCACCCCCCACCCCGCACCGTGCCATCTTCACTGGAAGTCAGGGCCAAAGCTCTCCTTTGCCAATGGTGTGCCGGACGACTGCCAGGACCTGTCCCATCCCCAGCCCAGACTCTCTGCCAGCGTGCTGGCCCCGGGGGTGGGGGCGACTCTGCCCAGCCAGGATGGGGAGCAATCAACACCCTAAAGGAGCCTCTCCTGCCGCCAGCCTCCCCTGGGACTGCCCTTTCCCCACTTACAGCCCTCGTGCTACTTCTCCCAAGTTCCTAGTCCTAACGATGATTAACATGTCTGCCAATGAGGCTCTGAAATAACTGTAGATTCCACTTACACCAACTATCCCTAAGGAAAAAAACTTTCCCCAGATTTTAAAAAGAGAAAGTACCATCAAGCATCTTTCCTGTCTGCTAGCACCTCCACTTCACCTCTTTTTTCCCCATCTTTCTTCCCCCCACTCCCCCTCGTCTCTCTCCTCCCCACTCCCCATCCTCTCTCCTCCCACTCCCATCCTCTCTCCTCCCCACTCCCAGTCCACTCTACTCCCCACTCAACTTCCTCTCTCCTCAACACACGGCAATCTCACACCTCCTAAGTGGGAAATTAATTCCACACATGTCAATTTCGAGACCTAATCCAGATTTCGAACTCTTCAAGGGGAAGTGAAGCTCTTATAATGTCCTGGGAACTCCCAATATGGATAAGAAGCTGCTGAGAGTGAGATCAGGAAGTAAGCACACCATTTTAGGAATGGACTTACGGGTAGAACTCTAAGTGACTCACTCCCCCCGCAGCCCACACCAGTTTT